TTAGAGGGAGAGCAAACACACTGGGGAGACAGTCAGCCCCGTTTGAGGTTGTGGTCCAGCAGGCAGGCTCAGGTGTGTGATTGATTCCCGGGTGTCTGGAATAGGCAGCCGACCTTTGGTGGGGCCATTTGTCAAGAAACAAAAGGAAGGAGGCTGAGCAGGTCTTTCAGACAAGATGATGAATGAAGTTTTGAACACGCTGAGTTTGAGGCACCAGTGGGACATCCAAGTGCAAGAGGATACGTCAGGGTGGGTGACATGGACATGGTGGGGAAGTGAAGAGGCAATGGGAGCTGAAACCAAGGGCATAGTTGAGATCCCTCCAGGAGAGGGTAGCACGGAAGAGAAAGGTTAACTGAGCCCTGAGGAGGAGCACTGATGGGAAAGTCACATCATCTGTCATGCTTGACAATGACTGAGTGAGTCACAGCTCCCCAGGGCCAGGTGCCAGGTGCCACGTGGTGAGCCTCATTCATTCCCTGCCTCTGGCAAAGTGCTGGCCACACAGAAGTTAATTTTGAAATTCACCCTGATTTGATTCCTCTGCACTTTCATTTACTAGAATCCTAATGCGGTTTACTATTTGAAACGCTGCCAGGATAATTTTTTTAAAAGGTAATATTATGACTTTCGTACAAATAGGAAAAAAATGCTTGTAAAGGTTTTACTTAATTCAGGAATTAACAAGGAAATCGGTAAGATATCACCACCACTTCAAGGAAGAATCCAAAAAGCAGATAGATAAACAGTGATGCTGAAATGAGTTTGCTTTTATAGATGCAAATAGATGCAAAACTGGATCCTTCCAAAGGAAAGAGGGGGGTCAGTTGTCTTCCAGTGGACAAAATTCACTTACATGTCTACAGACAAGAATCAGAGCACAATATTTTTCTTTGCGATTTTTGAGTGTTCTGTGGCGAGCCTGCCAAAAAATGTGACAACTATAAATAGGGAAGAGTGGGAAGGAAAAATGGGGACGTGTCACGACGCCACTGGAAATAGGGAACTGAGAAATTTCCAGAGATTCAGAGTCAAGGGGGGGGAGCATTTACTTAGAAATGGAGTAGGAGGCACAAGCTTTATGAGACAAAGGGCAGAAGCGTGAAATTTGGGAATATTAGAGAGACTTGAAGATAGAAAAATGTGTCAAATTGAAGACTCATGCTTAAGGAAAGGACAGATCAGAGAACGAGGGAAGGAAATTAGGATGTACTGACTGCTTATTACGTCTTGCACTGATCAAGAACTTAATATCTACTTCGTGTGTGTGTGTGTGTGTGTGTATATGTGTTTGATGATTGATTTAATATTCACATTTGCTTTTTTTCCTATTGAAGTATAGTCGGTTTACAAGGTTGTGTTAATTTCCGGTGTACAGCATGGTGATTCAGTTATACATATATATTCCTTTTCATATTCTAACTGCTGTATATATCTACTTTTTAAATTTAATCTTTCAGCCCTATTTCGTATGAAATAGGTGCCATTACTAAAGATGATATTCAAATATTTAACAAGAGACAAATATTTAACGGCACAATTAACCAGTCGGAAGCTGGCCAGAGGACCCCTGCTGAGCCAGACATTAACCCTCTACTGGCAGGCTCCCAGGATCACCGTAGGAATTTTGGGAAGGGGTCAGGGCCGCAGAGGGGCATGAAGCAGGGCCTGGACAGAGGCTGTGCACCAAATTTTGCATGAGTGAAACGGTGTGTAGCAACTGAATATCAGCTCTGAGAGGAGCAGTGTCCTCTGGGCAGGGGCAGGCTTACTCTCCGTCTTCCCTTTGTCTTCTCCAGGCTGCTCTGCTAACATCTGAGGTCACTCCTGCTGCTTCTACCTTTGGTGGGGGGCACCACTGCCACAGCCTGTGGCTCCAAGTGGCAGCCCGCTCTGTGGAGTCTTGGCTGCCTCCCTGCTGTCTCCCAGGAGGAGAGCAGGCATCAGGGACCCTCATCCTCCTTTGCCACCAGATCCCTTCAGCATCCCCAAGATTTAGCACAGCAGGCTGTACGAACTTAGGTACATTTCTTTCCTAAAGGCCTGGGAGCAATTTCAGAAGGGAATTAGAATGGAGGGAGGAAAGCGTTCAAGTTCTAATTCATCTAGACTTCTAGAGAAGCCAGGGTGTACCAGGCATTTTCACTTGGTCTGCCCAGCATCTTTGTCGCCTCTCCGGGTGCCTTGGTTAAGAGTGTGGCTTTGCAGTCTGCACGACCTGAGTTTTCACTCATCACTCAGTAACAATGTGGCCTTGGGCTAAGTGTCACCTCCGAGAGCCAGTGCAGATTGGTTATTAGAACTGGTAATTCTGTTAGGTGTGATGATGGCTTTGCGGATGTGCAAGGAAATGTCTTCTCTTTCTTCTTCTTTTTCTGTGATGTGTTAAACCGAGGCCTTTGGGGAACAGGAAATGGTACGATGTGTGGAATTTGTCTTAAAATATATTGCAGGCAAAAAAAACGGGGTGGTGGTGGTGCAGGCACAGGAGAGGAGAGATGAAACAGATGATGTTGAAGCGGGTAACGAGTACCTGGGGGGTTTCCTCGTGCTCTCCAGACTTGTGCGCGTTTGAAAATTTTCATAATAAGAGTAAACAAACCAAAAACCAATCATGAGGCTGTCAGACTCCAGATTTTTAAAAAAACAAAAACAGGATGTACTTTTCATAATTGCAACTTATTTTGATTTTCTAGACAGATTCCAGCTCTCATCCTACCCACCAGCTTCTCCAGACATTAGCTGGGAATACTGCCTTTGACAAGGCTTATCAGGACCAATGCTAGGGAATATATTGTTTCTGATTTTATACCCACATTTTAAAACTGTGACCAGTTTCTTATTTGGAGTAACTTGAATGCAAGAGTCTCATTTGAAGGTGTTGCCTTCTTCTGTCCAACTCCTTTTTTAAAAAATTCTTATTTTTTATTGAAGCATGGTTGATTTCAATGTTAGCTTCAGGTGTACAGCAGAGATTTATATACAAACACACACACACACATATGTATTTTTTTCAGATTTTTTTCCATTACAGCTCATTACTAGAAATTGAATATAGTTCCCTGTGCTATACAGTAGGTCCTTGTTCTTTATCTATTTTATATATAATACGTGTACCTATTCATCTCAGACTCCTAATCTATCCCTCCCCTCCCCTTTCCCCCTGGTAACCCCAGTTTGTTTTCTATGTCCATGAGTCTATTGCTGGTTTGTAAATAAAATCTGTCTATACATTTTTTTTTAAGATTCTAGATGTAAGGGACATCGTATTACTCACCCATAAAAAAAGAATGAAATAATGCCATTTGCAGCAACATAGATGGACCTAGAGATGATCATAGTAAGTGAAGTAGACAGAGAAGGACAAATATGAGATGATGTCTAACTTCTTTTTAAGGACTGCTCGGGGTTAATATTATCTCCAAGGAGAAAACATCGCTTCGAGGAGGCACTTAGACCTGGTTTATAAAGGCAACACTCAGGAAGGAAAGATGAAGAAAGTCACCTGAGGTTTGTGCTTTGAGTTGTCGGAGTCTCAAGGAGAAAAAAAGAGAAACGAACCATCATTTGACCATAGTCTGCACAGCTAAAGGAAGGGACAATGGGCGAAAGAGCAAGGAAAAGAAAAAGAAAAGGTCAAAATAAAATTGGGACGGACGGGGGCGGGGGGCAGGAGAAGGGAGAAAGTCTGAGATATCGGAGTGGGGGTGGTGAGCGCACCAATACTGGCCACAAGCACAAAAATTTGCCCATTCCTGGTTTGAATTCAAAACAAGTATGTACGCACACTGGGTTCTGACTTGGCAGGTGGTGAGACGCTCTTTTAAGAACCTTGAAGACCCAAAGTTGTGCTCAGACGGCCCACCTGGAACTGAGCCCAAAGTTGAACAGGGGCTCAGGTTGCCTGGCTGACCACCTTCTTCCCTATAGTTTCCTAGAACTGAGCCCAGGGAGGGGGCGCTCTGCTGGTCCGCGGGTACCAAGGCCAAGTCCCCGCAGAAGCCTCAGCGCGGGGCAGCGGCGGCGGCCACGCACCGGGACCAGAGGAGCAACCCGGGCGCGCTCCACACTGGACCACCCGCTTAAGAACCGAAGGGCTGCCACGCGGCCATGCACGTTCTCTCCGCGGAGCAATCTCGGGGAGAAGGCGCTGGAAGGGCGGTGCAGGCAGATTTTCCCCAGGGGAAGGGTGGGTGGGGAGGGAGCCCCAGAGCCCTCCTGCCTGTGCTCTTCACGCTCTGCCCCGCCTCCCTGGGACCCTGACCGCCCGGCCGGAGAGGGCGCGAGCTGCAGCGCCGCCCTCCGCCGCACGATGGCAGCACGATCTGCAGCGCGGCACGGCGGCTCTCCGGTGCCTCTCTTGGTGGCGGCGGGCGGAGGCCGGCCCTCGACGCCTTCGCTGATTGGCTGCGGCGCGGACGCTGCCATGTTGGCGGAAGCGGCGCCTTCTGTGCCGTGGAAATTGGCCGTGGCTGCGGCCACCGCGTCTATTCGCGTAGCCTCCTGTTTCGTCGCCTCGTTCGTGTCTCAGCGCTGAGAGGCGGCGGCCGGCGGGATGGAGAAAAGTAGGATGAACCTGCCCAAGGGGCCGGACACGCTCTGCTTCGACAAGGACGAGTTCATGAAGGTGCGCGCCGGGGCTCCGCTCCCGGAGCCGGGCCGCGGGTGGCCTGCCCTCCTTTCCCCCGGGGCCCCTCCTCGGGCGCTCCGGCCGCGTCCGGCCGGCGCACGCCCCGGCCGGCCCTCGGTGGAGCCTCGCCGCACTTCCCAGGGAGTCTCTTGGCCCCAGGTTTGGCAGGGGGCAGCCCGGAGAAAGCACTTCTGTGAATTCGTGTGTAGTGAGTGAAAGGGCCTGCAAGTTCTGGGCAAGTGGTTTTGAGCTAAATGTAAAAGCCCCTGTTATTATTACCCGACCTCGTTACCATGCAGTGCAGCCCCCTTGCCAGACGGAAGCTTGTTAACCAGTGCCTTGCACCTAAAAGCTCAGTACGTCTGTATTGACCAAAGCTCTGAACCCACGTACCTGCCTGGGGATCAGGTGGGATGGGAAAAGGCGCGTAATCGAAAGTTTTCCTTTAGCATTCACCTAAAGCTTCTGAATGGGGTATTTAAAAGCTAGACTAGTCTCCATGATTTTGTTGCAGTCAAACAAAGCAAACCATTCTGCTTTTCTAAAGCTGCCCTACTTCTCTTCAATAAGGTGAACCTGAAGTTGGTTTGCAGGTAGCTAGTACATAAGCTTACATAAACAGAATAGAAAGGTAAACTGGAAGCGTTTTATGGATAATCAAGGTTCAAGAGGCACAGCCTTGAAAATGTCCAAGATTTGAATCAGAGCCAGGAGGAACTCTGCATACCTATTGGGTGTAGCCGTCTGGGTCTGTACTTAAGCCATCAAAAAATAGATTTATGTTTTATTTCTAAGGATTTGGATTTTTGATACCACTTATTGGCTGTTTTCAGTGTTAAAAAGTTAAAAGTTTTGGCTCAGTAGAGACCTAAAATTTAAGCAAGTGAGTTTAAAACTCTTACTGTTCTCTTCTGATGACTTCAAGACATAATAGGTTTTTTTCTTTTTAGGTTAATTAGTCTATCTCTTTTTGATATTTGCATTCAGATCACATCTCTGGCTTTTAAAGTATTTTCATCTGGGTCCTCTCCAGTGTGACCCTGTCACTTTTAATATGGGAGGCTACCTAGACCCAGGAATAATGTACTCTTGTTCTTGTAGTGATGCTTCTACTAAACCTGTAATAAAAGATGTAACTTGAAAAGAATGTCTGAAAGGGAGTACAGAGTGAACTCACTGATCCAGGAACCCTTTGTTCCGCCCCCCTGGCTGAGAGCTGCCCCGAAGGGAGAATAGAAAGAAAGAACAGGAGTAGAGGAGCATAGGGAAAAGAAAAGGCACTAGCAGGGGCCTCATTCTGACTTCTGATGTCAAGGGTCTCAGAATAGAGAACACACAACTTGTCTGACTTTGGACTTCTTCAGAGCTTCCCTCAGGCTCAACACCTGCATTCTTTCTGACCTGCTGGCCCCACCGTCTTTCTTGCTCAGAGCTGGCAGAAACCCTTTGGGAAAAGCAGCTTCAGAAAACAGAGATCTCAAAATAAGTTTCAAGGTAGGACTTAGCTGTAAGGAGGTGGCTGGAATGGCAGCAACGTGCCCTACCGTTTTCATGTAAATAAATGGGACGACTTCACACAGAGGAGAAAAGTACAGAGGACAGCTGCTCTGTGTTAAGTGTTGCTGATTTTCTAGGTGAGACCTGGAGATAAAGGCTATTTGCAATTTGTGTTTCCTTGAAAGAGACATCTTAGCAGTTTTAGATTCTTGGCAGAAATGATGGGTGGGGAGCTTGCTGACCGGATTACCTGTGTCTTATTCAACACATTTTGTAATTGGGTAGGTTTTGTGCCTGTGGGAAAATCAAGGAATGTTACTTACAGTAAGAGAGAGGAGATTACGTGAAATCCAGTCATTTGGTTGGAAATTGTGTCATTCCTGTGCTAGAGATGATGAGGACTTGCTAGGGCAGTGGTGGCACTGCCCATTCAGTCAACGGGCATTCGTTGGTCACCTACTTTATGTCGGCCGGAATCTAGACACGGTGGCCCAAGGATAGGTAAGACGTGGTTTTGGCTCTTCAGCACGGTGATAGGAAGACCGTGTGTGCTGAGAAATTGCACTTAGTCCACAGAGGCTGGAAGAGTGGCCAGGAATGAGGCTGGGAAGGTAGAAAGGCAGATGGGCGGGGTTGCAAGTTGCACCTCGCCTCGTGTACTGCGCTGAGGGGCTGGTGCTGATGCGGTGTTCATTGTGGGTCACAGCCCAGTTTAAAGCAGGAAATTACCTGGTCCCTTCCGTTGCGTTGGAGCTGACCCGCAGGAGGGCTCCTTACAAAGTTATTTCAGTGGTCCTTCTGAGATCTAATGAGAAATCCAGAGGAGGGACAGGTTTGTGAAAGATGTAGGTGATCAGAAGACAGGAGTGGCGGGTGGAGGAATCACCTGAGACAGAGGTGGTGGCAACATCAAGCTGCTAGCTTTGTCGGCTTAAAAAACATACAAAACCCTTAGGCTTGGCCGCCAGCTGACAGATGAGATAGGACACAAGATACGGGCAGTGGGAGAGAGACAGCGGCCTGCTGACAGAGATGCATTAGAAGCGTTACCCAGGTGTGCTGTTGAAATCCCAGCATGTGACTTCATCTCCTGTTTTATAGGAAAAAGAGTGCCAGCGAACGGGAGCGCCTTCGTCTTGCTGATAACAACTCTATTCTTGTATCTGTGCCGGTCCTTCTCCTCCTGGCCTCCTGTGTGTGTGTGTGTGTGGGGGGTTCCTCCCTGAGCCCAGTCCTCCCTTGGAGCCCAGGCCCGCTTGCCTTCTCAGCACCCTGCTCTGCCCTCCTTCCCGCTGGCTCTCAGACGCACTCCTGTTTTTGTCTCTTCCCACCTCTAGTCATTGCCCTGTCACTCTCGTCCCTGCCACAGCCAAATGCTCAAGACTTGTCTCTACTTTCTCATGTGCTTATTGGCCACTTGTGTGTCTTCTTTGGAGAAATAACTGTTCAGAACCTTTCCTCAATTCTTTTTTTTTTTTATTGAAGTGTGGTCGACTTACAATGTTGTGTTAATTTCCAGTATACACCTTTGCTTGTTTTTTAGTTGGGGTATTTGTCCTTTTGTTGAGTTGTAAGAGTTTTTTTAATATATTCTAGGTAGTAGACCTTTGTCAGATACATGATCTGCAGATATTTTCTCCCATTCTATTGGATTGTCTTTTCATTTTTTAATAGTGTCCTTTACACACACAAGTTTTTATTTTGATCAAGTTCAGTTTATCTATTAGTTTGACACTTCCTGTATCATTTCTAAGAAACCATTGCTTAATCCAAGGTCATACAGATTTTCACCTTTGTTTTCTTCTAAGAGTTTTATAGTTTTAGCTCTGATATTTAAGCCTTTGATCCATCCTGAGTTAGATTTTTGCATATGGTACAAGGCTGGTGTCCAGATTCATTCTCTTCCATGTAGATACCCTCTCGTCCTAACATCGGTTGTTGAAAAGACTATTCTTTCCCCATTGAATGGTCTCAGCGCCTTTATAAAAAAAAAAAATCAACGGACTATAAATGTGTGGGTTTTAAGTTCTTTCTTTTTAAGTATTTAGCAAATCTCCAGTAAAAAGTAAAACTATTTCTGGTAAGTGAAGTTTGCCGTCATTATATGCCCCTGTGAGTTGGGCGTTGTTTGTTGTCACAGTATTCACAGACGCTCTAAGTAACTTAGCCTGTGCTGTGTGACACTTATTGATCCAAGAACAAATGTGTAAATGGCAAGTTGAGTACTAATGCCACCTAATAGCATTTGTTCGTTAGAGCTGACTTACACAATTTAAAATGTCATCTGGAAGTCCAGATCCACCTGAGGCTCAGAACTTCAGAGAATATGTACCTGAGGCAGCAGATCTCTGCTGTTGTCAAGTCGCGCAGCTGGCTAGTAGCAAGGCCCGGCTGTGGAGCTGAGCCTGCCCCCTGGTCTGGCTGTGCTGTGCTGTGCAGCTGTGGGCAGAGGGTGTTACCTTAGGTGCTCTCGAGAAGCATAATGTCCAGGCTAATTGTGGCCCCAGGTGAACAAGCAGATGGTTTTTCAGTAGGTGGCTGTGAAATTACGATGTGATAAGCAATCCCCTTCTCTGATACTAGCAGAGCAGATACTGGGCTGATTACTTAAGAAAGTCAGTTAGAAAGGTACTCTTAAGGAATGCTGTATACATTCCTTAACATTTCATTTTAAAACGTACCTGTGTACATTTATTCTCCACTGATGTGATGCCAAGCTCTTTTCTCTGAAAATTTGTCTGCTGTTAGATTTCTGTATCGTCCTTTCAGTTGAATGAGGACCCTAAGGCGTCTGCAAAGAATCTGGTGTAGAACCCATTGAGATCTGTATGAGCGCCTTCCGTCTGCCCTGCCTGGTTCCTGGTCCCCTCCCCCATATATAATTGAATAAAAATTTTCTTATCAATTTCTCAGTATCAAGTCTTTCCAAAGCATCTGCCTTAGCTTTCATGAAAAGTTATCTTTTTGTACACATATTTTGTTGGTTTATATGATGTGTAATAAAATTCTGTTATTTTGTTAAGTACCAGTGGCTTTAACAAGTTTGGGAATCATCACATCTGATTCTTGATGACTAAACAGCTCAGTTAGGTGCAGTAGACAGTCACCTGCTGGCTCTACGCATGTCTGCCAGCCAGGGGCGCCAGAATGTTATAAAGCTGAAACAGAGCATAGCAGTCCTGTGAGACCAGTACTTGGAATTTGGTTATGAAAGATTCTGAACATCTGTTCAATAGAATACTCAGCCTCCATACAAAATGTCAGTACAAATTTATATGTATTATGAAAGACCATGAAGTTATATTTTTATACAGGGAAAGATTTATTAGGAGTGTGTGTGTACACAGAAAAAGGTCTGGGGTTTGGTTCAAGATGGAGACATAGGAGGATCCTAAACTCCCCTCCTCCCACGGACACACACAATCTGCAGCTATGTGTGGAATAGTTTCCTCTGGGAAGAAACCTCAGAGCCAGCAGAGCAACTCCTACACAGCTGGCCAACCAGAGGGAAACCCCATCAAAGCGTGTAGGGAGCGGCTGAGACCCGGTCTCGCCATAAACCCCACCCCCAACGTGGTGACCCCAAATCGGGAGGGAACTCCCATCCCCAGGCTTCTCCCTGAGGAGTGAGAGTCTGAACCCCACGCCTGGCCCCCCTAGGTTGAAGCCTTGCACCTGAGAGATGAGCCCCCCGAACACCCAGCTTTGAAAGCCGACTGGGCTTGCGCCCATGAGACCCGTGCGGCTGTAGTGACCTGAGAAGCGGTCCTTCCAGGCTTGTGTGGCCTCGCCCACCCCAGGGCCCAGTGCAGAGGCAGCGACTGAAAAGGGCCCAGACTTTCTGTGAAAGAGGCTGATTGGTTTATGTTAAAGCATCAGCCTGAGGGGCAGGCTTCTCATTTAACTCACATCTGGGGGCTTGGAGGCCGGCAGGTGCCGCCTTGGTGCTCTGCCTCACTGCAGCTCTTCAGCGCCTCCTGGGAAGGAATGTGTAACTTGTCAGGCGCCCTGATTTTACAGCTGCTGCCCGGGGACGCCTCTGGATCACCTGGCTCTGGTGGCCAGTGAGGCTTGCACTCACGGGTCCCTGGTGTTCACAGCAGCGCTGTTCATGACAGTTAAGACATGGAAGCAACCTAGTGTCTGTCAGCGGATGAATGGATAGAGAAACTGACACGCACACCTCACACATGCTAGACTGTTACTCAGCCATGAAAAAGGAATCCGCCATCTGTGACAGTATGGATGGACCTTGAGGACATTAATGCTAAGTGAGATAAGTTAGAGAAGGAGAATTTTGGTCTCACTTATATGTGGAATCTAAAAAACAAAACAACAAACATGGACTCAAAGGTACAGAGAACAGATTGCTGGCTGCCAGAGGCAGGGGGTGGGGGAGTGGACGAAGTGGGTGAAGGGGATCAAATGGTACAAACTTCTAGTTAATTAGATAAATGAGTCTTGGAGGTGTAATGTACAGCATGGTGACTATAGTTAATAATACTGTATTGTATATTTGAAAGTTTAAGAAAGTTAATCTTAAAAGCTCTCACAGCAAGGAAAGAAAATTTGTAACCCTGTGTGTGACAGGTGTTAACTAAAACGTAGTGTGGTGACCATTTTGTAATAGATACAAATATGAAATCATTATGTTGTACACCTAAAACCAGTACAATGCTGTATTCAATGATGTCTCAATTTTTTAAATGATTTATATTTTAAAGAGAAGGACCAAAAAATTCTGGAAGGCTGTGAATTGCCATGTTAAGTAGTGAGAAAAAAAAACATTAATAGGGCTTATCTGTATAGCGTCAGACTGGGAGTGATATTTTTGCTCTCTGCCTTTTATATAATTATTGCACACACCTCCCCTTATCCTTGGGATCCACATCTTCGGATTCAACCAACCAGGGATCAAAAATATTTGGAAAAAAATTCCAGAATGTTTCAAAAAGCAAAACATGAATTTGCTGCATTGGCAACTATTTACATATAATTTGCGTTGTATTAGGTATTACAAGTCATCTAGAGATGATTAAAAGTGTGCAGGAGGGTGTGTGTGGGTTGTATGCAAATACTGCACCGTTTTATATAAGTGACTTGGGCATCTCCAGATTTTGGTATCCTTGGGCGTCCTGGAACCTTTCCCCCAGCAGATCCTGAGGTACAGCTGTATGTCTTTGTTGGTTGAAAGTTTTAACATTGAACGTTTGTTGAGGCGCCTATTTAAAATGTGTAATTTAAAAAAAAATCGAATCCCTTGGTAGAATTTAGGCAAAGGAAAGAATGCTCTTGTTCGGCCTCCCCCTTGGCACCTTTATAGTGAGCAACACCTTTCTGCACCGTGTGTACTGGGTCCCTACAGCAGTGCAGCCTTTCAAATAAGGATGGTGTGTCTCTCTTATTCTTTCTTTCACTTAATTTTTTTTTATGTGAAATGTGGTATCGTGGCAGTAACTTTTCTTTGCCGGTTTTATCTTCAGGAAGATTTCGATGTGGATCACTTTGTGTCCGACTGCCGGAAGCGGGTCCAGCTGGAAGAGCTGAGGGCCGACCTGGAGCTGTACTACAAGCTGCTGAAGACGGCCATGGTCGAGCTCATCAACAGGGACTACGCAGATTTCGTCAACCTCTCAACCAACCTGGTAACCGCGAACTCTGCGCTTCCTGCCGGGTGGTGCATTCGCACGCGCCCTGCACACAGTCTTTCTTACTATTTATTCTTAAAAGTGCCGAGTGTTTTTAGATATCTTGGTTTTTTTTTCCCCCAAGAATCTTGAAGAGATGACTAATCTTATTAATAAAAGAACTACCACTCTAGTTTATATTTTGAATTAGTTATTAAGAAGTAGTGAAATGTAAAGGATAATAATATCGAGAGTGGTTTTTGCCAGTTGCTGAGTGGTTGCCCTGAAATCTCTCTGGTTTAGGTGAATTTGCAAGAGCAAATATCAATTATTCTTAAGGAAATATTTAATTTGCTTTCAGGTACGTATGCTGGTCAGAGATAGGTTGAGGAACCACTGGCCGCTGTTCATCTTTAGGTGGCCTGGTTTTAGAAAAATGTAGGAATGGGTTGTAAGGAGCAGATCAGTTACTTGGAAACGTCCTTTAGAGATGCTGAGTTTTAACACTTATAAGAGCCGCCTTGTTCATATTTTATTCTGTTTTTAAATCTGTTTGTCCAAAGAAGTATAGGATGTAGTCACCTCCATGGGAATTGCAAGAAGCACCAAAGTTAATGAGTCATGTTTGCTCTTGGGAAATACACCCCCAGGAGAAGTGTTCCAGGAGGATTAGAAACTCTGAAAAGTTTATTTTCGTTCTGTTTAATTTGGATTTTTCTCAAGGGCTATAATAATGCTCAGGAGAGGCCATACATAGCCCACTAGACTTTCACATCGGCTGGTTGAATATCATAAATACAGGGATCACTGTTTTTCCCCAAATGTTTTGGATTCATTTAAAATTTCATCCAAAGGCAAATTGTGTGTAAGGAAGCTTTGAATTTTTATGACTTCCCTCATTTTTATAGTTTCATGTATGTCAATAGATTTTTCATATTCTGTGAGCAGTGTTGATGGCGAAATAACATTTCTGTTGTTTGTCTAGTTACTACCAGTAGATGGTTGTGCAGGAAGCGTACTGTGTGGCACCGCTTCAGTCAGTAAGCAGGTGTTGCTCCTGACTGCTGTGTTCACACCAGCGTGACTTTGCCTTTAGGTCGGCATGGATAAGGCCCTCAACCAGCTTTCTGTGCCCCTGGGACAGTTGCGAGAAGAGGTTCTGGTAAGTCCTCAGACGATAGTGAACAGTCTACCGCAAGGCAGGCCGGTCCTGCTTGCCTTCTCCAGGAGGAGTTCCTTAATCTGCCTGCTTGTTTTTTGTTTCTGTTGTTTGGAATGACCCATGATTACAGTACTTGCCTGCAAAAGCGTTGTAAATGATTCTGTTTTTTTCATGTGATATTACAACCTAAAAAACATGTTTGGTTTAAAAGTGACGGATTCTCAGAGTAGATAGATTTAAAATGTCAGGGGAGAAGAAGGGTGTTTCAAAATTCACCTTGTTAATACCTCCTCACCCGTAAGTGGTCCCCAGATTAAAACTGACTTATGTTTAAAAATCTGTGATTTTACAATTATTTCCCTAGACAATATTTTACATGTGGTTAGGTTCCTAGACCAGTCCACGAAAGCTGTTTAACCCCTGATGTAACTGAAGGGTGATATAAATGTCCTGTGATACCTGATTTCTCTGAGGAAATGCTCTCAGCCATGAGAACAGGGACGATGGAGGGGGGTTTTGGCATCACCTCCGACAGAAAGCTGCCTGTCCCCGCTCAGCCCCGAGTCTGTCAGGTGCCCCGACCTCCATCCTCCCTTGGTTCTCACACAGCGCCCTGGACTTGGTGCACCATTTGCTGCTGTGTCACTGCTGGACCACGCCAGCCAGAGCGGCCTTGTGCACCCTGCCCCCCGAGCCAGCGCCTCTCGGCTCTCCACAGAGACTAAGGAGAGAGGCCAGCCTGGTTGGAGCAGGAGAATGGGGGTGTCGGTGCCGAGGAGCCCGAGGTGGAGGGTGGGGTGGCAATAGGAAGGACTCCATGGAAGAGAGATGTCTTGAGCCGTGCCCTGAGCTAGCAGATATTTTTGAATGTTTATGTCTTGTTTGAACTTTATGAAAGCTTGTTAAAGGACTTTGCCTGGGAATGGAAGAGAGGTGGGGTTTGCCCTCCCCTGTTGGACCCCCGCCAGCCTCTGCGAGGCTCTTTCTTCTTTTCGGTGCTCTTCCTCCCCGTGCCTTGGAGCTGGGGCATTTCCTCGGCCTTTATTCACCTTCCTGTCTTCTCCCTGAGCTCTCTCTGAACCGCCCGTCCTGCCCTGCCAGTACCACGTCCCTTCCCTTTTCCTGCAGCTGCCTCTGTAGCCACCTTCCTCATCAGCCACAGACCTCACCTTCCTTTTTGATCTCAACTCAGGAAGCCGCTGTGAGATTCTAAGATCGTTGAGGGAGAAGACTGTTTCTGTCTTAATCTGTCATTGTACCCTCATTGGCTACCACAGTAGTTGACGTGTATGTTTATTAAATGAATGGATTCACCTTGCTACAAAATTTTTGTGATTTATCTAATTTATTCTAATCGTTTCTGTTGTCTCCGTTTCAACTCTAATTCCTTATACTTGACCCAATTTATTAGCTTCTGAACGTGTTTCTCCACCTGTAACCCCTGCCTTTTTCCTGGCCATTCTGTTTCTTCTTGATTCCTAGTATCCCCAAACCAGCATCTCATCATGGTCCATCAGCACCTAAACATTGTCTTGTTCTCCAAAGTGCATGGAATCTAGTCTCACGTCCTCCTAAATTGACCCCATTTGTTTGTTTCTACTTCTCTCCAAAGGGAAGCCTGCAGTGCACCCAGGTGCATGCCTCACCCACCCTGAGTGTGTCTACTCAGTTCTGTCTTCCCTTCTTGTGTTCTGATAACCTCTTCTCCACCCTTGTCAGCTTACAGATTTTCACTGTCAAACTCAAGTCCTGTCCTCTTGCCAAACTCTCCTGTACTTTGATTCAGATGATTCTTCTTCTACTCTGACTGCCTATGACATTGACTGTGTTTGTGTTGTTATTCTGTTGGCTGTTCATCCTGTGTGACCTTGGCTTTATGTGTCATTTTGCCCCCAAAGCGTGACAGCAGTTTTGTCTGATGTTTTGTGTTTTTGTCAATATCTGCACAGCAGTGGGCTGTAGGTAGTTAAGTTCTTTGGAATTTAATAAATGTCTAAGTTTCATCATGTCACAAAACGGCTTCTGTAATATATTTCTTTATTCTTTTCAAGAGTCTAAGGTCATCTGTCAGTGAAGGAATTCGGGCAGTAGATGAACGAATGTCTAAACAAGAGGACATTAGGAAAAAAAAGGTATACTTGAGTGTCCTTGGGGTCACGGAACTTGTATATACGTGGTCTGATTTTCTCTTCCTGGTACCTTTGCAGAGAGGAAGCGTGGGGAGCCAAGCGGGAGCTGCAGCGCAGGTCCTCACTCCTGGTCTGATTAGGGTCCTGTTAATAAGGGGGTATTTTAATTAATTGAAGGTTATTCATGGTCGCATTACAGTTTTTGAAGGAAGCTGTAGATTTCTTATGCTACATGCCAGCTAAACGCCCTCCCCTCGTGTCTTCTCACACTTTGCAGTACTGTGACACTGGCGTTTTTCAAAGCTCTTTTGCGTGTATGTATTGATGCTTTAATGTCATGTTATCTATTTGAAATAAGAAGACAGAATTTTAGAGACACCCAAATGGTACCAAAATGAAAATTCCTCAAGATTTTCCAGAACAAGAAACAGTAATAACTGGCATCAGTGAAGCACTTTGCAGTTTAGAAGGCATGTAATTAATTTCTCAGCTCCCCGGTGAAGAGGAGACTCACACTTTAGAGATCAGGGAGTAGGCAGGCTTTCTAAGGCCAGCCCTGCCAGTGTCCGACTGCGGGCTGATGGTTTTAGAAAAAGTAGTACGTTGCTCCTCATCCTGCCACATTTATTTCTCCTTTTGTTTCCACCTGTTGACTGTACCTCCACACACGCTGCCTTTACTTCCTAGTGGGCCCATGTTTTAGTTTTATTTTCTGACTTCAACAATACAATGGCAGAGTTGGGGTTAGAGTTCGAGACTTCTGATTCCAGCCTGGTGCTCTAGTCAGTATTTTCTACATCTATTTATTAGCATGTTTTTCAAAATCTCAAGAGAGAGAAGCCTCTTTTTAGCAACCTTCTGTTTAATTCTCCTTTAAATCTCAGCTTTTGTCCAAAGATTTTAAGGATATAGTGTCTTTCTAGAAAAGAGCGTAAGCTTCGGGAGAACAGGGAGTTTTTGCCCGTTTTATTCACTCATGTCCCCACTTCTGGCTCACAGTAGGTGTTCAGTAACCATTTGTTTAATGAATGACTTTGTATCTTTTTGTTCTTTTAAGGTTGAGAGTTTTTATAATGTTCCTCAACCTCTTTGATAGTGTTTATAGGATAATAATGTCTTCAATGAATTGACACTTGGGCATATAGGTGTGTCACATTCATGTAACTTGAGAGGATAAAGATGGTCAGAAACTAAAATTAAAACATGAAAAAAAGGGTCATAAGAAAATAAACGTAGTGCCCACAGAGAGGTTCATTTAGGATGGGAAAAAGTGCAGGGAATGAGAATGCAAAAAGTCCAGTTTTTTTTTTTTAATTTAAACTATAAACTTGCAATAGATTATTAATATGCTTGTTCTAGAAAGCTAAAATTAAGATCTGCATTCTTGGGAATTCAGTGTTATGTAGAAATACTCAAAATGTGGTGTTCTCTAAATAGTCTAGCTTGACTTTTGGTTTTGTATTTTCCTGCTTTGAAATGGGGAAAAAAGATCATTAAAATTAAACATCATGATAACTTTTTTTTTGCTTAATTTTTATTTTTATAGATGTGTGTGTTGAGGCTTATACAGGTTATTCGATCAGTTGAGAAAATTGAAAAAATCTTAAATTCTCAAAATTCTAAAGAAACATCTGCACTAGAAGCAAGCAGGTAAGTTTTGTTTTTTTTTTAACTAAATATCCCGTAAATTAATACTTCACAACCAGG